GAGAGAGAGAGAGAGAGAGAGAGATAGAAAGAGAAAGGGAAAGAGAAAAAGAAAGAGAAAGAAAGGTACACATACACTTTTACACACAACGAGACAGACTTAAAAATGAGACGGATAGACAGACAGACAGCCAGCCAGCCAGACAGACAGATAGACAGACAGGCACAGACTCACGTGTTCTCCACAAAGATGTCAGGTAGCCACACGTCCTTCTGGAACAGAATCAGCTCGTCGATGCCGCCGTAACTGTCTGGCTCCCACTGCAGGAACTCGTCGCACCACTCCTACACACAGAGGAGAACAATATTTCATCACACCACTCCTACACACAGATAGAGGAGAACAATATCTCATCACACCACTCCTACACACAGATAGAGGAGAACAATATCTCATCACACCACTCCTACACACAGATAGAGGAGAGGACAGGAGTACAATATCTCGTCATACCACTCCCACACTCAGAGATATGAGAGTGACAGGAGAGTGACAGGAGAACCAAACATGTGGTCAAAGTGTACAATATCTCGTCACACCACTCCTACAAACAAAGAGGAAAGGAGAGGAGTACTAAAATCTACAATATCTCGTCATATCACTCCTACGTACAATGAGAACAATATCTCATCACCCCCCTGCTATACACAAAGAGGAGAGGGGAGGAGAGAATGGGAGAACAATATCTCGTCACATCATTCCTAAAAACAGAGAAGATAGGAGAGCAATATCAAGTCACACCACTCCTACACACAGACAGAGGAGAGAATAGAAGTACCAAACATGGGGTCAAGGTGTACAATATCTCGTCACACCTCTCTTTCTCTCTCACACACACAGAGACAGACACACACAAACACACACATACACACACACACACACACACACACATACAAACACACACAAACACACACACACACGCACACACGTACAGGAGAGGACAGTAGAACCAGACATGGGGTATAGGAGTGAAGGTCACAATAACAGTAACCAAGGACAGGAGAGTCAAACATAACAATAGCCTGTGAGCACAATGACATGATTGTAAGTGTGACCAAAAGAGGTTGTATTTAATACTGGAGCTCGCAGCAGTGACGTCACACGTGTCAGACACTGGGTCCTCATTACCCCCATCGGCATGGCCGGCGTGCCCTCATTTACATGAACAGTCTGAGAGCCCACCCCGCTCCCCACGAGCTTTTGTATATTAAACACCACCCTACTCTTATATTTCAATGCAAGCTTGTAGATTTCCTTCTAAGACCGCCGAGACGCCTCCACCTTAATTAGTCTCGAAAAGTACTCACCCGTCTGTTGTACTGCGCATGTCTTGCCCTTGAGGCTCAGCGTCCCAGAGTGGGCACACGCAGCCCCCGTTCGTTTACGTGGGAGACATCACTTCCAATAACCTCAGTACTAAATATATCCACTTTTTA